ATATATAAACCATGTTTCTTAAAAACGAAGCAAACTCATGTAGACATATAATATTTAAATGCACGGTCTGGTGTTTTAAATGTCAGTGCGTTTATATAAAGAGTCAAAAGCGCGTTTCTTAAAAACGAAGCAAACTCATGAAGTCATATCCAGGCGTTATAGTAAGCCTGTACTCGTGAATTAAAATAAGATTCAGTTTCATCTCTTCATCATTCTTTTGACACTGCAGATGACAGATTGTGAATCCTATCACCGCGGCATATACCGTCGGTGAATATTCTAATAATGAGATCATGTTTCTTTTGGCACTGCAGGTGACGAATCGGTATTCGTATTTACCGGTGGTTAAAACATTTTTACCATTCGTTGCGTATCGTAATATTGGATATGTATGTCTGATAGAGAAGGTCCTGGGGGAGGGGGTGTAGAAGCGTGCGCGGATAGCAAAAAACCTTGACGTTTCCTCCAAAAAATTAATACCAAATTTTGTTTTGCCTTTGTTTGATATGTAATTTAAACAAGTTTTTTTACATCTAAAAATTGCCCCTAGTGGTCAAAACTTGGATTATGTTCGCAGTATTGGCCATTTGTTTACTTTTGGGGATCAAAGTTTGAGGTCCAATTATTTTTAAAGTTTGCAAACTATCCAGCTAATTCTTGGTTGTTGTTTGGAGCCTTGTATATGCTGATTAAAATTTAGTTTAGTCCACAATAGTAGATCCTTTCAATGAAGGGAAATTCAAAATAGTGTATTTGATTACTTTTACAGCACAGTCATTACATTACGGTGGCCGATAACGGTCATTCACGCACAAAAAGTGAAATCACCCCACAATAACACGAAACACGCCAACAAATCCGCGATTCACGCCACAATTTCACGGATTCACACCACAATTTCACGATTCACGCCACAATTTCACGATTCACGCCACAATTCCACGGATTCACGCCACAAAGAAACCGCTGACCGATCACGGTCTCAATACTCATTAAATTCATTATTTCCCGCCTTTTTTCGCGACCGCATGAAATAAGCGTAAACATGGCTGACAACGGCCAGTGCATTCAATGTGGAGAAGCTCTCCAAGATTTCTTTAACTTTTGTCCTGAATGTGGAAGAAGCGTAACTCAAGAGGGAGAAATGACTGAAAGAGAAATTATTGAAATGTATTTCTATTGTGGCTTCACCTACTCATGCATACTGCAATTAATGTCCAAATATCATAATATAAACATGTCATTATCTACTCTTAAACGTCGGTTGCAATCATTTAATCTAGCAAGAAGTAGGGACGCTATTGATGTTGACCAGATTAGAGAAGCCATAAGAAAAGAAATGGATGGCCCTGGGTGTTTATTTGGATACAGATCTATGTGGCATTCTCTCAGAATGGGGCATGGGTTAACAGCACCCAGGGACCTTGTACAAAGGCTAATGAAGGAAATTGATCCAGATGGTTGAAAAAAGAAGAAGGTTAAGACCTTACTGGAGCTTGGCCCTAACATATTGGCCCTAACAATACCTGGCATATCGATGGATATGACAAGTTGAAAGATTTTGGATTCCCAATACATGGGTGTGTGGATGGATTCAGCCGCAAGGTTTTGTGGTTGAATGTTTCAAGATCACATAACGATCCATCTGTAGTACTGCGTTTCTACTTAGATTGTGTTGACGAAAATGAAGGGTGTCCTCTCATAATACAGAGTGACTGTGGCACTGAAAATTCACGCTTAGGGCCAGTGAACTAAAAATACCTGGAACGCTACCTCCAATAGGTTTGGCTTATGATCGGATGAAGCCAAATTTTACCTCCAGCCGCGCGTGTTCTACCTCCAGACACGCGCGTTTGTGTTGCGAAACATTCTCGCGAGACCATTTCGGCAGTGACTTGAATGTTTTTTCTTGGGCGAATGGATCGAAAATTGTCGTTTATTTGGGGTTTTAAGCTATATTTTTGTATTAGAAGTGCATTTAAAACATGTCTTGAACCCTACCGACTAAAATTGCAAGGACGAAAGTAACCGATTGGAGACAACAAGTGCATATTTGAATGACTGGAACGTTTATATGCAGATGACACTTGAGAAAGATAAGTAATTCTTTATCTTATAAACGTATTAAATATGTATTTATAACAACTTCATTGACAAGACAAGTTTATTTAGTCTGTATCTATCACTTTGTTTGCCTTCGTTGACCACTTTTTCTTTGTATTTCTTGCCGAATGTGAATAATGTACCAGTCAATTGAAACTACGGCCCCCCGACCCCCGCGGCATTAGCGGGGAATTAACGCGGTCAGGGCCGTGGTTTAACGCTACAATTTCCCGGGGATACCGGGTATTTAACGAAAATATAATTTGCCGGGGAAAAATAGCGGGGATTTAACGCTCCGCTAAAGGACTGCAGAGGCCTGGGTACAAGTTCGCTTGCTCGTCCATGTGCTCGTCATTCGTCCATGTGCTCGTCATTCAAACCCGGCGTACTCCCTTGATGTGTATTGTCTATTGATAATTTTACTAAAGTTTGTATTAAATGTTCCCCGGTACCGGGGCATTTAACAAATACTTTTCCACCTGTAGCGGGGGAAATGTGCCGGGATTAACAAGGTGATTTGTTAAATTCCCCGCTATGCCGCGGGGGTCGGGGGGCCGTAGTTTCAATTGACTGGTGCATAATCGCAACATGAAATACTTATTCGCGAAAAAAAACTTTAATGTTTATATTTGTTATTTTGCACTTTTAAAACTTAATAAATACTCTACTACAAAACATAATTAAACTGTGGATGGTAGTTTGAACTTGTTAGAATACCTTTTTCCTAACTTTCAGACGAATAAATTGGAAAACGAACGAGCAAAATAGGGAATTTCACACAAATATTTCACACTTTATATGATTAGACCACGGCAAGCTCCACTCCTCGCTCGACGTTTTTTCTCAAAAAAGAAAATTTAATTACGATTTCTACACAAACAAATAAAAAATATTTTACTCTAGAGTTTTGAAGAATTTTTTTATTGTAAAAATGTACTGTCAGGTGCATTTTAAGTCGTTTTAAACGATGTTTTAGTGCAGTTTTTTACCCAGTTGTGAAAATTTAAAAAACCCGCGTTTTTCCGTTACGTGAAAAGACTGGGCATGACAACAGTGGGCATGCCTGGGCATGGCTTCACATTTCCGGTTGGAGGTATCGTTCCAGTTATTTTTAGTTCAATGCTTAGGGCCCCCAAATCAACAGCCCCCTCTGATGAGCCTACATCATCCATAAACTTCACAGAGACTTTATGGCATGGATCAAATTTTTTACGGTTTAAGGCCCGTTTTGCCTTGTCAAAAAGATGGGTACGGACAACATTAAACTTAGTAATATTACTAAAATCTACTTGCTGAGCTAATTCTGTTACCACTGCTTCAATTGTGGGAGTTTGAGCATCATCCTTGCCAGATGTAGACATTTCTACTGCATCATCAGAAAATGTCTCTTCATTGGTGGACAGTTCCTCTAGTTGATCATCGACCGTGAAAAGTGCAGCATAAGTATTGTCCACATTCTCCATTTGCAATGCCAAGGCAATGGCAGCATCCGTCTCAATTTGCTCAGTCTGTTTTGGCTCTGTCTGCTCTAGCTCTGTGTTGGATGAAGTGCTAACTGGACTAGAATCAACAACATGAATAACTGGTTTCTGGGTCTTAACCATTGATGGTTTGCGACGTTTCGGTTCTGTCTTCAATTTCTTGGATTGACTTCCTTCTGAATCACTCTCACCTTGACTCTCACACGAGGGTGAACTATAAATTGCTTTCTTCAAAGCAGTAAGTTTATAGTTGATCAAATCTGTTTTCAACGATAGGTAAAATGTAATGCGACTGTAGGGTTTCCCATACTCTTTCTTATACTTGTGAAGTACAAATGGTTCGTCAGATTCTCGAAGCTTCTCGACAACTGTTGCATCGGGGTACAAAAGTTCATAGTCTCCAATAGATTTAATTTCCGCCATGTTGTGAGCTTTTAATTTACCGAAGGCCGCATCCATAAGTTCTTTCCTATCACTAGACTTTGTTATGGTTAGAGGCAACGATTTACCTCTCTGTCCTTTCATACCCACGCCATCGTATTTCATGAAACCAACATTCACAGTAACTTTCTCGTCTAAATATTCAGCATTTCTATTCTTCTTCTCACGTCTAAAATATGTCGCTCGTTTCTCACCCTTCAGCTCCTTAATTAAACTGTTTGTATCCTAACGTTTTATGACTGGATCGTTTCGTAGTAGGAGTTGGAGTAAGCTTACTCGTTCCAGCGCCATCATTGCTTTTTTGGCTCTGTCCACAACGCGGGCAAAACTTGTATGAAGTTCGTCAGAACATGACAAACAAGCAGCCATGTTTACGCTTATTTCATGTCGTCATGCGGTCGCGAAAAAAGGCGGGAAATAATGAATTTAATGAGTATTGAGACCGTGATCGGTCAGCGGTTTCTTTGTGGCGTGAATCCGTGGAATTGTGGCGTGAATCGTGAAATTGTGGCGTGAATCGTGAAATTGTGGTGTGAATCCGTGAAATTGTGGCGTGAATCGCGGATTTGTTGGCGTGTTTCGTGTTATTGTGGGGTGATTTCACTTTTTGTGCGTGAATGACCCTTATCGGCCACCGTA